TGGAGAGGTGGCTCTGATGCCTAACTGAGTGGTGACAAGTTGGAGAGGTGGCTCTGATGCCTAGCTGAGTGGTGACGAGATGGAGAGGTGGCTTTGATGCCTAATTGAGTGGTGACGAGCTAGAGAAGTGGCTCTGATGCGACCTGCAAGGAAACAATGTCAGAGTGCCTCGGTTGCTTTACCCGGGTGGGCACTCCGATGCTTAAGTTTGCGAATCAGAGATTTTAAGATAGCTAAATGTGAGAGAGCTGGAGAGCTACGAGAAATAAATTGCACATCTACCTGGGTCTTAGGGGCTGATGCCCTTATATAGTTGGGATGTCGTGGGTCTCGCGAAACGTCCTTGAATCCTCGGCCCATGACATAGCAGTCCGTTCCGCTTTGGAATGAGGATAACATGCCAGTTAATAAGGCTTACCGTTTTCCTCCAATTCGGGTAGGATGAGGATAAGGCCTACGGTTATGTGGCTTGATCCCGAAAGGTTCGGAGACAACTAACAAAATTCTAGAGAGGTAGGTCACCAGGCCGGCGATAGAGGCAGATCACCAGGTCGCCAAGTCGGCGACAGAGGCAGACACCAGCTGAGACCCCATTTTGGCTAAGACAAGTTGTCGCCTAGGTGATGCTGGGATGTAGTCCAGCTGTTCTGATATGCCATGTGTCATGATGTCAGTGGAGGGCCAAGTCTTCCCTCGTCAATTCATTTTTTGTCAACGTTTAGATGGTTGATAAAGAGAATTGGATGACACTTGAAGGGTGTTTGTGTCTTTTCAAGTGCCAGCTAACGGTTGGTTAACAACAGGTATTGGATTGGCACGTTTTGAAAGTTCAGGCACTAAATTGTCACATTTTAAAGTTCAGGGACCAAAATGGCACTACGCCCAAAGTATAGGGTACTAATCGAGAAATTTCCCTAAAAAATGTGAAAAGGAAGACGATTGAACACAAATCTACATCTTTGGCAAACACAATCGATTTTAGTAAATATAAAAACCTCACCTGAAGTTTCTAACAATGATAAAAACCTCTCCTAAACTTTTGGAAAATCCAACACATACCTCCCTTCCCTCATTGACCCAAACGAAAAACGTTTTACTTATACAATAGCTTTTTCAAAATACCCATTTTACCCTTTTGTATATGATTTCATGTATAATTTTACTAAAATAACCCTAAAAAGAAACTTTAACCTGAACCACCCATTTGATGTCCTCTTTCTTATCTTTCAATCTCCCACACCTACAACTATATAATGTTTAGAAGTAGACCTGTTTATGGGCTAGGCCGGGCTGGGCTCAGGCCGGGTTTTTACTCTACATAAACAGGATTTTGTTAGGCCTGAGCCCGAGCCTGGCCCGACCAACGTGCCTACAACTTGGGCCTGAGCCCGAGCCTCCTAACTAAAAGATGGCTTTTTGTTAACGAGTTCAAATCACCTATCAAAAGACAAACCAACAAAAATACAATTCATTAACCCCCCTCTCATTCCAAAGATGACCAAAAAGCAGCCCCAAGCAACTCTACTAACACCCTTGAAAATTCAAGAAGAAACGAACCTAGTTCAAAATTCTTCTCCCAATGAGAGACAAGGTTCCCTCTTGGATCTTGCCTTGTCTGCAAACCACATAAGAAATGCAGAACCACACAATTTTAGCTTTCTTACACCCATTTAAAACTTACCAACATACAAAACTTAACTTTCAATCCTGACAGTTGTTAAGAATGAGTATTGATTCCTCATTTTATTTAGAAATCTGTGTGTGTGTGTGTGTGTATTTAGACCTTTTTATCTGCCTTTTGTTTCTAATCCTGTTGGGTTAACTGGTTTATCAATTTCTGTAGAGTGAGAGATCATATGACATGTTTACATGATAAACAACGACTACCAAATACAACATTTCGGATTGTCTAAACTTGTTTACAGGATAAACAAAAGGGGAAACTAGAAGAAAAATCCCTAGAATAATTTCGTAAATCGTAATAGCAAAGAGAAAGGGAAAGCAATAATTTCAGAATAGAACAAAAGGGCAAGCTTAACAAGAGAGGGAGAGAAAGGACTCACCGCCAGTGCCTGAGTTTGTCAGTATCTAATAAATGAGCCTGAGCTGAGATTCTGAGAATAAGTGAGAAGATGAACCATGAAGAGAGAGAGAGAGAGAGAGAGAAAGAGAGAGAGGACTCATCGTCGGAGTTCACTGGTGGTGCCGGTGAGAGTGTTCGCTGGGTGAGATTTGGTAAGTGAGAACTGAGAGTGTTTGCTTGTGAGTTTGTGACTCTGAGTGAGGAGTGAGATTTGGTTGAGTGAGAAGAGAAGAGAGAAGAGAGAAGAGAGGTAGCATTCAACCACCATACGCTTTCCCACCCTTAAAACTTCATTTACACACTACTAGAACCAACTCATGGTTTCTAGATTTCATGAGAGCATATAAAGAAATAATAAGTCCATTGTAAGGCTTGGAACCTGAATCAATCTCGTGGTTGAAAGTAGCAATTGCTTCCGCAATTTAGTATGTATTTGGTATATCTTCCGTTTATTAAATAAACATTTGTACTTGATTATTGTCTTCAAAATTGAGAAAAGTACTTGATAAACCGTTTATTAACAACTAGGCACCACATCAGTGGTTGAGTGAATAAATGCTCAACCGTTGGAGGAAGCATTAAAATAAAACTTCCCCCAACGGTTGGTGCACACATTAATCAAAACCCACTTTTTTGAATATCAATTCGTATGGAGAAAAATGTTGATTTAGCGATGACATTGTGGCATTTTGATAAATGCCTATCATGAAACGTCCACAGAAAAAAACACATGCTTAGAAATTGAGATGGGTATCCAACTCGTTTCTGGGATCCTAAAAGTTGAGATCATCTATTGAAGATAGATTTGGAATAAAGAAACAAAAAAGGTCACGACCATAGCCAATTGGACTTTGAAATGTCTCCCGTAAAATCCTAGCTAAGCTTCTCTCTTTAACAAACCCTCGTATTCTCTTTGATCTCATTTCTAAGACTCAGTAGTTTAAACATAGAAATTTACATCTCACTTTTGCAACCTTATCAAAGAGGTCCCCTTTCTCCAATTTTTGCACTAAAACAAACCCCACGAAGAGAAAAGAGGGTTAAACTTTATAAAACTCTTTCTAATCCTCTAATCAACATCTCACTTTTTTGCAACTCTATCTAATTCAACGGAACAGAGAAAAAAATACCCAATTTGTTTTGTTGTTTTCATCTTGAGTTTTTCAATCAAAATCTTCCTTTTTCTGTCTTGTTCCATAGTAGTGATTCAAAATTCAGGAGAAACCCAGTTGGGTCCTATTTGTTCACTCTTTTCTTAACGGGGCTTGTCTGGGTTTCTGTATAAAATGAGCCTACCACACCTGGAATCAACTATGTGTCAGAGGAGAGATGGTGAAGGCCTCAAAGCGTTTGCAAGGGCGAGTTTTCTCTCTCCACCCACTCTCCCTCTGAGAATCGGAGGCTCAACTGGCGAGGCAAAGACTATTGCCATGCCTTTTCAGGTTTTAAATGATCCAGAACTCCAACCAAAAACAAAGAAATTTATAATAGAGGGAGGATGCTTTCTTTTGCTTCTTTGACAACGTTCTTCATTGATGAAAAAATTAAGGTTTTTTTTTGTTAGAAGAATAATAGTCATAGGGAGAAGTTTCAAAGTTGAAACTACTGAACTTCAACTTGTAGAGATGCAATTTAAAATATCAAATGCAAGGGATGGAACTAAATTCCTTTTCCGTCTCTTCCAAAATCTTGGGTAACAAGAGTGGTTGCGGAAAGATAGAACTGAAAGGAAAGGCCTTGTGATTGGAGTTGCCGAACAGATATTTAGTGCAGAACTCGAGTAAGGGTATTTTTGGCATTTTAAAATCTATTGAAGACGCCCTAACGATTAATTAGGGGCAATTTTGTAACTTGACTATTTTTCTGTTTGGGTCAGCGATGAAAAAGAGGTATTTGTTGAGTTTTTTAAAAGTTCAGGGGAGATTTTTATTAAAGTGAAACCTTAGAGGAGGTTTTTATGATTATCAAAAACTTTAAGGGAGGTTTTTATATTTTACCCAAAAAATAATTAAAACGGATCACTGGTTTGAATTGATTTGAATTCCAGATCAAAAGAAATATCTTAACATGAATTACTTTCTACTAGGGGTGAGCAAAAAAAAAAAAAAACCAAGAAACCAAATTGATCGAAAAATCAACTAAAACCAAACCGAAAGATCAGTTAGCCAAATTGATTGGTATACATATATTTCTATATATTTATGTATATTATATTATATATATATATTATTTTTATATATTATAAATTGATAAATACGCATTACATATATAAACATACATACATATATATATATATATTTATAATATATGATATATTATTTATTATTTAAAATATAATATTATATATATATATATTTTTATAATATATATTGTAAAAATTAAAAAACCAAAAAACTGACAAACCGAATTGATCAATCAATTAACCGATTGAATTCAGTTTCGGTTATCAGTTTTCCAAAAACTGGTAGTACCGGTTTGGTTACAAGAAAAAAAAAAGGCCAGTACCCCTACTTTCTACTTTAGAACACGGATCTGCATATGGACGATTGCATTTGAGTTCCAAATAAAAAAAAAAAGAAAAGAAAATAGTTGAAAAATGGTTGATCTATAAACACATATCTACGTAACTCGGATCTGGAAGGAAAAACACTTGGTCTAGAGAAGAATGTCGACTGTGTATGATGACAGACTAAAACCCTCGACAAACGGTCTCCCCATTGGGAAGAATTTACCAGAGAAGATGGGATTTCTCTCGCTCAAACGATGCATTCAGCAAGTTTGCTTACATAGTTTTCTAAAGAATACAAGTTTGTATAAAAAAATGGATACAGAACTGCATTCCATTCACAATACCAAAGTGTCAGAGAATACATTTTTCCTCTCTTTCACGATTCAAATTTGTATGACAATAACGCTCACAAATCCAAATAACCCGGTTTGACGTTTGTATTGCAAATAAACGCAGCCAAATTCCCCCAAATGGGGAACGCCATTTCACCCGGAATCGGAATAATTATTCCAATTCAAATAAACCCTTCTTCGCGAGAACCAAATGGACCCTTATTTCTCGGCTTAAGGGTCAAGCCCGATTGCAAGGTCGTAGCTCGCGTAGTCTCTGTTAGTTAATTTTTGGCTTAAGATGCCAGCCCAACTCGATGGATCCAATTTATTTGGGCCCATTTCAATCACTATCTTCTTTCCTTCCCTCGCAGTTGCAGTTGTTCAAAACTTCAATTCAATCACAGAACGCAGCCCTGAAGTTTGAAAAAGGAGGTCGACTTCATGATCGGAATCCATGGTGAAGTCTCCGGCTAAGAGTTTGCAGAAGTAGGGGTAGTTACAGTGTTCATCCTTCGTCGCGGCTTTGCTTTTCACGCTTTAAATTCTCAACAACTCGAGTATCAAACAACTTTGCGCTGGTTAACCAGCAAACATGCGAACCCTGAAGCCAGGCGGTCCAGGCCTATCCTCAAGAGCTTTGTTCTCTTCCCTCTATTCTTCTGTCTCCGATGCACTTCTCTCGGACAAAGCTTACACCCTTCTGAAACGATACCCCGACCAACTTGATTCCTTAGCTCCCCATTTCACATCACAAGCAGCTTCCCAACTCCTACTCAAATCCCAATTCGACAAAACTATTACCTTAAAATTCGTCAATTGGGCACGCAACCGGGATTTCTTCGACCTCAGATGCAAATGTATCGCCCTCCACAGCTTAACCAGATTCAAACTCTACAAGACTGCCCAAACACTAGCCGAAGAGCTTGTCTCTCACGAAGTTGACAGCTATGCAGCAGTCGGTTCTTCGGTTTTTGAGTGTTTTAAATCTACTTACCATCTCTGCAATTCCAGCTCTTCTGTCTTCGATCTCCTGGTAAAGGCATACGCTCACTTGAACATGATTCGAGAAGCTTTGGATGTTATTAATTTAGCAAAATCTTCTGGTTTTGTGCCAGGGGTCTTGTCATACAATTCTGTTCTTGATGCAATATTCAGGTCTAAAGGCTCCGTTGAGTCGGCGGAGGAATTGTATGGAGAGATGATTAGGTCTAATGTTTCTCCAAATGTGTATTCCTATAATATTCTTATTCGAGGTTTTGTCGGAGTAGGGAAATTAGAGAAGGCTCTAGATGTTTTCAGTGAAATGGAGAGGAAGGGCTGTGTGCCGAATGTAGTTACTTTAAACACGTTGGTTGATGCTTACTGTAAACTGGGGAAGATCAATGAAGCCTTTAGGGTGTTCGAGTCAATATCTCAAAGAGGTTTGCAGCCAAATCTAATTTCCTACAATGTGGTCATCAATGGATTGTGTCGAGAAGGACGTATGAAGGAAACGGGTGATGTTCTAGAAGAAATGAACAGAAAGGGCTTGCTTCCAGATAAGGTTACTTATAATACACTTGTTAGTGGGTACTGTAAGGAAGGGAATGCCCATCAAGCACTTGTTATACATGCTGAGATGATGAGGAAGGGTCTGTACCCAAACGTTGTTACCTATACTGCATTGATAAATAGCATGTGCAAGGCTGGGAACTTAAATCGAGCCATGGAATTCTTGGATCAGATGCGCATAAGAGGCCTCTGTCCTAATGAGAGAACTTATACCACATTGATTGACGGCTTTGCCAAGCAAGGATTATTGGATAAAGCATATCAATTTTTGAATGAAATGACTGAGAGTGGCTTCTCACCTTCAATTGTAACATATAACACACTAATCAATGGACACTGCATTTTAGGAAGACTAGATGAGGCTTTGGGAGTCATTCAAGATATGGTGGTTAAAGGGTTAAACCCAGATGTGGTAAGTTACAGTACAGTTATAACTGGTTTTTGCAGAAATCAGGATTTAGAAAAGGCATTCCAAATGAAGCAGGAGATGGTCAGGAAGGGTGTTTCGCCAGATGCAATTACATACTCAGCACTAGTTCAAGGTCTCTGTGATCAAAGGAGACTGGCTGAAGCTTGTGATCTTTTCCATGAGATGTTGTGCATAGGTCTGTCTCCCGATGAAGTTGTATATACAACTCTGATCAATGGTTACTGCATAGAAGGTGATGTTAAAAAGGCTCTCCATCTACATGATGAAATGATTCAGAAGGGGTTCCTTCCTGATGTTGTTACCTATAATGTGCTTATAAATGGTTTAAGTAAGCAAGCTCGGACAAAGGAAGCCAAGAAGCTTCTATTCAGGTTGATTTATGAAGAGTCAATTCCAAATGATATCACATATGATACTTTGATGGGGCATTGCAGTAATGCTGAATTTAAGAGTGTGCTGGCTCTCATAAAGGGATTTTGCATGAAGGGTTTGATGAATGAAGCAGATCGAGTGTTTAAATCTATGTCTCAGAGAAACTGGAAGCCTAATGAGGCAGCCTATAATATCATTATACATGGTCATTGTAGGGGAGGCAATATACGAAAGGCACTTGATCTATATAATGAAATGGTGACTTCTGGTTTTGTTCCTAATACTATAACTGCTATTGCTCTCATTAAGTCACTTTTCAATGAAGGAATGAGTGAGCAAATGAGTAAAGTGATACAAAATATTCTAAAGCTGTGTAGGCTTCCTGATGGTGAGATCACAAAGGCTCTTGTCAAGATAAATCATAATGAAGGGAACATGAATGAAGTATTTGATGTACTTACTATAATGGCCAAGGATGGCCTCCTTCCTAACAGTGGGAGAATTTTCATTTCAAAGGAATAATTACTCTGGATGGATTACTCACTGGTTGAGCCTTTTCAAACACTCTACTGAACGTCTTCCCTTCCTATGTCTGGAATAGGACTCACCAAATAGCAAGAATCCCTATGTCATTCCCTTTTGATCATTATGGGTGCAAGTCGACATAGCGTGGGGCCTAGAGGGTCTAGGCCCGTTCAATTGTTTGCAAATGCTCAACCTGAGCCACGCAAGTTGCAGCCCTATTAATCATAGCAACAAATGCTTTATTGGACTTCATGCGGCAGATACTTCAAGTCTTTGCCTCCTTGGCATCTAGAAATTGAAAAGGATATAAGGGGGACTAATTAATTGAATATCAGAGTGTTGACTTTCAACTTCCCTTATGCTGTGTCTGGCTTGAAGGAAAAGGTAGGGAAACCTATACAAACCATAAAGGTGAAAGTAAGAAGCTATTATCACTGATCTCCTTCATTGGAGTTATTTCTATTCTGGTTCATTTTGTTTACAAGTATATTGTTGGACTAAATTATTGAAATTTCTATGAACAGAGACATTGTAATTGCAATTTCAGAGTTGAATCAATGGAATAGAATAAAAGTTTGTTTCGAAGTTACTAAGGGTAGGAGTGTGATCTTATTTTTTCTCTTCTATCTTTTTCTCAAGGAGTCTGAACTGTAAACTTTCTTCTCTCTTCCCTTTTTTTTGACTATTACAGATCTGAACCTCTTTTTCATATATTGAATCCTTAGTTCCCATTCTTTACCTATCACATTTTACTTTTACTTTTTTTGATAGTAAAAGTAAAAATTTTCATTAAAAAGGAAAAAAGATACAATCTGACCAGGTGTTAAGGCAACACCTTGGAACATCATGAACAACAGAAAAAACAATAGAATACAACAGATCAGATCATATTGTGCAAATTACAAATTTGAAATCCCAACACTTCCCCAAACCTGTCCCCAAGGTCTTTTTTCTTAATTTGTGTAAAATCAAGCAGCTCTATTTCCTCACCATATTCCTTAACAAAACTCTTCTTCTTCCTTTACTTAAACCCCTAACTTTTTCCAGGATAACTCCCTTCACCCTCCCCTCTTTACACTTTTGACAACTCCCTTCTCTCTTCCTCAGAAAAATCCTCTTCCCTCCCTTCTCCTTCGTCCCCCCACCCTCCCCCGTTTACTCTTTTGACAATTCCCATCACTCTTACTCAGAAAAATCCTCTTCCCTCCCTTCTCCTTCGTCCCACACCTCGCCCCCTCCCTGCTCCTTTCAAAATGTTTAATTAACTTTCTAACCACGCTCTCCCCAGCCAGAAAAAATAAGCCAAGTGATTTTCCAACCTTCACCTGTCTCTCTACTGGTTGTTCAACATCCACCCTTCCGTCGACGGCATTTGCCTCCTTTACACCCCTCCCCCCCCCCCCAATACCTCCTGTTCTTCCACTTCTGCCCTTTCAACCCCAACTCCTTCATTCATCAGTGTTATAATTCTTCTCTTTCTATTGTACTCCCTTTGTTGTTGCTCGACCCTTTCACCCACTTTAAAAAATTTTCTCTTCTTTTTGCTTCCCCAGTCTTTCTCTTCTCCAACATTGAAAATTCCATTCTCCCCTTCTTTATTTGAGGCCTCCATCACAATGAGAGAATAAGTAGTAGAACTTGCCTCAATGTTTAGACAGGTGACTACCTTGAGAGCTTTTGAACCAGGCAAGAATCTTTTCAAGTTCTCTACCATTGCTACCTTGTCCTCCTGATTAGCTAGCACTAACTCAAGCCCCTTCAGCTATTGTTCCCCCACTCAAGTCTAGTCTTCCAGCAACTAAATGAGATACCACAACCTGGTTCTCAAACATCAAGCTATTCTGCTTCCCTTTTTCTTTTCTTTTTTTCTTTTGATGTAGTTTTTCTTATTATCAATAAGAAACCCTGCAAAAAGGTTGGTGATACAACTAACAAGAGATTATAATGTCAAAGTACTAGAGACATATTTTCATGAATATGAAATAAATTGTACTGATATGTCTGCCTTTTGAGTTTCCTGAAGTTGTTATGTCAAGTCTAACACTTCATATCAGTGTCAATGTCCTCGTCATATAGCCCTATGTCATCATATTATAAAAGATTATGACTATATATGTGTGTGTCTGTAGTAGTAGTAGATTAAAACAAACTCTAAATTTGTTTTGGTGCTTGTTTTGCTACTGGTTTTCAGTTTTCTCATTATTCTTTGAATCCTTTTCACTTTTTGGCATACATATAGTCTTTGCTTATTAAAAATAAACAAATAAATGGAATAAAACAAATCCCTAGGGGACAGTTCAGAAATTCCTTAGGCTCAGTTTGGAAGGAGTACAAATACAAATATGTACAGTGCAAATACATACAAAAATAATACAAAATACAAGGTTTTGCACTCTACATGTTTGTATTTGTACTCCTTCCAAACTGAGCCTTATGTGCAGTAATGGTCCATATACAGCATTCCTTATGGTAATATAATTGCTCGTTCATGCTTCTGATATTTGGCCATATAATTGCTCATTCATGCTTCTGAGGATCTAGGAGAGAATCTGTTGCATAGAATGCCAAAAACCTCCAGAATCTTGGTAGCGAGGTATGTGGCACCCATCCACCCCCTAATGGCTAGACTTATGTTATTCGGATGTGGCAAGCATATGGCTGGATACAGTATCAAATATGAAATTTACAATAAAAGTTGAAGTATTTGGCATGATACAGCACCTTTGTACAGATATCCAGGTATCATACTACATCACTTGAAAGACTTTCTGTAAAATTTCAGTCACTTTAGGAGGGTTACCTGTAGGAGATCCTTGATTCTAAATTCAGTTGTTGCATTTGTTGCTGAATCTTGGAGAAAAACAAGATCTTACCAAGAGAAGGGAAGAAAAATTGGACTAAAATGTGCCGTATAGCTAGTTTATGTCATGTACCAACTAAGATCAACTAAAATGGGTTGTACCATTCACACAAAAAGTATGTGTCAATGGTATTTGAAAGTATTATCCATTTCAGGCCCAACTAAGATCAACCAACTTGCTCTCTAATAAACTAGGCAGATTGTTTTTGTTATAGTAGAAGAAACAAACCAACCAAGCAGCAAATTGATATCTAATGCACTTTTTGGGAATTTAAGAGATCTAAAAGAGCTACCGGAAGACTGAGAAGAACATAAGCTGATGCAGCAAGAAAGGATATGATAATTAACAATTTGGCACAGGCTGTCTCATAGATGGAATGATGAAATATGATTTATGCAGCTATCCATCAAGAAAACAGGATTTGTGTAGCTGACCTCATGTAAGCTCCAAATTAGCCTGCGAAGTTCTAAGATAAAGAGAAAAATCTGGAAAACAGTCCTTTTAGGGGAAACAGTGATGTACAACATAATTGGATCATGATATTTACATCTGAACGGAACTTTGTAAGTTTCCAACTTGTTAGTAAGTAGCCAATTATTTTATATCACAAACATTTGCCCTATGACTGTTTCTTTCAGTCAGTTGTTGCTTCTCAAACATTTGGGTTGATGCCTTCTATGTACATAATTGTTTTGCCAGTTACATTCTTGGAGAGCTGGCATATAGAGCTGCATTGTGTTGAGTTAATAAGGGACTCTGGCTTTTCAGGTTTTTCACCAAACATGACTTCAAGGCTTTCTATGTAAGGCCTACCCTGCAATGCCATAAGCCACTGCATGAAAACCCTCCCAAACGGGCACTAAATGAGAGGTATAGAAGTAGCCCAAAACGGGTATTGTACTCACCCTTCTCCTTTAGGCTTTAGACAACAACTGGTATTCTGCAACCTACCTACAAAAGTTTCTGGGACCAGGGGGTGCCCAAAAGTTTCTGGGCTGGAAGTATCCCATGAACCAGTTGGCTTTGGCCCATGTGCCACCCCTATTTACTCTGGTGTCCACAGTTTCGTCATGACTCATGAGGCAGCCTATGGTAATTTCCCCCATTCCCTGTTGAATTGTCATTTAGAGCTATGTTTGGTTCATTCTCTGAAGATCATGTTTGGTTCACTGCTATGGGCCTCATTCTTTTAGTTCTTGCTCACTCTAGGCAAGAATGGGCAATAATGAATAACATTAGAGTGTTTGGTTACAAAACCCTTGCCATTGGGCCACATTTTTTTTAGAATGAAAAATCAGCCCCATAGCACAAAAATTGAGTAGCCTATCACATGAAAAATAATCATGCCCCATCTTGCTCATTTTCATTCTTTAAGGAAACTTTGCCTACAAAGCTGCTACCATAGATGTTTACTTTTGTGAAAACACTTTTATGAAAGCATTTTTACAAAAGTACTTTTATGAAAACACTTTTACGAAAGCACTTTTACAAAAAACACTTTTATAAAAGTAAATTTATGAAAAGCGCTTTTGCGTAAGTAAAGTACTTTTATGAAAGTACTTTTATAAAAGCACTTTTATAAAAGTACTTTTATGAAAGCATTTTAATAAAAACACTTTTACGAAAGTACTTTTATAAAATTACTTTTACTAAATCACTTTTACAAAAGTACTTTTATAAAAAACATTTTTATGGAAGTACTTTTTACGAAAGCACTTTGACAAAAGTACTTTTATAAAATCACTTTTACAAAAGTACTTTTATAAAAGTACATCTATGCCAACTAGTAAACATTGATCGTCGCCCATCCACCAGTAAACATCTATGCCAATAGTTTGGAGACCTAGGTTGGTGGTTTATAAATACCAACATTGTTTTTTTTTTTTTTAAGAATGAAAATGAGCAATATATGACACTTGAAAGTGTGAAAATAATTCATTTTTAGGAAAAAAGTGTTTGGTTCATAGCAATATTTTCTCATTCTGCCTATTTTTACCCATTCTTGTCTATTTTAGAATTTTATTTTGGGTAAGAATGAGAAATGATGAGAATTGAACCAAACATGGCCTAAATAACTTTCCTAGTTGGAGGAAAAGTTATCAACACTTGATGGGACAATATTGTCTTTTCGGTTGAATCTTTTTTGAAGGGACAATATAAATTCACATTCTTGAATCTAATTTGATTACAATTTTTCCTTGAAAATGATTGATCATTGACCAGCAAAAACATAAATATGGTTGATTTTGGTGTAGAAAAATTCCACTTTAGTACCTTGAACTTTGGGGATTGTCAAGTTAGTACTTGAACTTTCAAATATGTCACTACAGTATCCAAACTTTCAAAAAGTGTCAAATTGGTCTTTGACGATTGTTAGTTATCTGATCACACGATGACATGCGCAACTTAAAATTTTCCAAAATGTCAAAATTACCCTTAAAAACAAAGCATTGTTCATTGTCTTTTACCTTGAGACTGAAGCTTAAAACCACTAGCGTTTTCTGGCTTTATATTTAATGTCAAGAGTGAAACGTTGGAAGTTCTCCCTCAAAGGGAAACTCGTGAAGAAGAAAAACCTATTGAACTGCATCTTCAATTTTTGAAATATCCGCAATTTTTCTTTTTTAATATCGAAGAGGAATTGCCGCGCTGGATTGTGTATACGGAATACCATAAAGGAGTGATAACATTCTATGTTCTTCACCCATCCATCAAGTGATGAAGATGGAAACGAGGGTTCTCAAACTGCTCAGACGTTGCAAATTCTCTCGTCTGATCGATCATCAATCATTCAAAGAGATCAAGAAAAGTTGGGTTTACATTTTTATTTACTTTTTCTATTTCTTTCTGGCAAAAAGATGGGTTGCACTACATTAAAATTCACAAAAAAAAGATGAAAAGAAAAGGAACAAAGAGACCACAACAGTTCCATAAAAAACACAATAACACATAAGACGGTATTATCATCATCATCATCACCTAGTCTTATTCGATCTGTTATTTGAGAAGTATGCTTTGGAACTTCTCTCAAAATCCGCTCTAGGAATCTTGTAGTTTTTGTAGGGGCTTTCATCATCTTCTTTGGTCGTTGTTCTTTGATCTTAAGCCATAATATCAGAAAAAAGCAAGAAACCCATGACGCTCACGACATAAGAGATAATGTTCTCATAGTAACTTATGTATGTTTGTATATGAGGATGAGTTCTCTTCAGCAAAAGAATGAACGAGGTGTTGGAAAATAGAAGAATCAGTACATGATATTTAACGTCCATCAACGATTTTGGATCAATGCAGTGACAGACAGGTTTAAAAGTTTGTATGGTAACTTGACACTACCCCAAACTTCAGTACTAAAGTGAAATTTTCCATTATAATATAACCGTCATTCTCCCGAACGCGCGGTTCCTTGGAGCAAACTGTGATGTAATCATATAAATTATAATCCCTCGTAAAAGAAGCTGGCAAGCTGCGTCCTCAGTCTTCATGGAGAGTTGTGGTGATAAAAGGAAGAACCAACCGAAAGAACCATCTCCCAACAAATCAAAGTGTAGCAAAACCGAAAACGCGGCGGCTTCCGAGAGCACCGAGGGACCTTACCCAACATACCCTCGACCAACCCCAGAAGAATGCGGAGCTGTTCGAGACGATTTATTGGCCCTACATGGCTTCCCTCAAGAATTCACCAAGTTCCGTACTGCTAGATACTCTCCTGGACCTGGTGTGGCTTCTTCCTCTCCTCTTCCGTTGGTGAAATCAGAACCCATACATGGAGAAGGAGATGAGTTCCTTTCCTGCCCAGAAACCACGCCTCTGGAATCTCGCAATGAGAGCGTTTTGGACGGTCTCGTCAGCACTCTTCTCTCTCAGAACACCACCGAAGCCAACTCCGCAAGGGCATTCGCTTCTCTCAAATCAGCTTTCCCAACTTGGGAAGATGTAATCAAACTACTCTCTCCATCCCTCACCCATACACACAATGTTGTTATGCAACCCATGTTATTTTAATTTTTCTTTTTAGGTTCTGTTACAAAAGTTTCATGGTTACAAAGGAAAGCTTTAGAAATTGAATTTAATGTTGTTTTCCTGAAGGTTCATGCTGCCGAACCCAAGTGTATAGAAAATGCCATAAAATGTGGTGGTCTATCCGTGACAAAAACTTCTTGCATTAAGCAATTACTGAAAGGCCTACTTGAGAAGAGGGGTAAATTATGCATGGAGTACTTGAGAGACATGTCAGTTGAAGAAATCAAGGCTGAGCTTTGTAGTTTCAAAGGAATTGGGCCCAAAACGGTAATTTTTCTGTTGATTTCAGTTTCTTCCTAAGGGTTTAGGTTCTTACTGTGCTATTTATGCTGAAAATAAACAAAGTAGAGATTTGGCGAAACATTTTGCACCATTTCAGAAAAATGGAAGGACTATTGTCGTGCTTTGTGTTGATGATTCAATCGTTGAAGGCAGAACTTTGTAGGATCTATTTATAGCGTACTTCCTGTTTTTGATAGTAGTAATCAGTGTAGATGCTTGCTTGAGAGTGTAATGCCATGGTCAAACTGCTTTCTTGCATTCACCTGGTTGGAGGCTTGGAGCCTGGTTGAAAACATCAAATTCCTTTTCATACCCTTAATGTCTCAACCTGATCAAACCACTGACTGAACCTTTCCCTTTCCCCTTCTTTTCCTAAGGTCTCGTTTGTTTGCGGTGTAAATACCGAACTGGTGTAATATTACACTCTGGTCCGGTTTTACAGCTGTTTGGATGGAGTGTAGTAGAACACCGATTACTGATGTAAAACTCCATTCACAAAGAGTTTTACACCAACCGGGTTACTCTTCTGTTCAAAGGTTCTTGAGTTTCCATGAAGGGAGGGAAGGTCAGCGGGGGAAGCTTGGAAAGAGGGAGGGAAGGTCAGTTCCTGCAAGCTAAAAGATGGAAGAAAGTGTTGAAGGTGGAAGCGAAGATTTTCATCTTGGAAGAAATCTGGACTAGAAATGGACTCTCTCTAAAGATTGTAGAATCGAGGAAAGCTTCTTTGCTTCTTGAAGGAAGGACGGTACCATGGTTCCAAGGAGTTCTTGATGGAGCTAAAATAACAGAAAAATCAAGGGAATGGAGGTGCTGTCTATTGGAGCAGAACAGGAAGTACGTGGCTGAAAGAAAAGAGAATAAGTACGGGAGGCTTTCGGGAGTGCAGGAACACTTTGGTGAGGGGCTGAAGCAGTTTACCTGTTTCCCTGAAGGAAGGGAGGCCTCGGGATGGGACCAGTTAGCAGAAGCAATTCAGGAGTTTATGGTGGTAACTAAGGACAGAGAAAGTGCCCTAAAAGATAGTCAAAAAATTAAGGAACAATCTGAAGGGCAGTCAGGGAAAGTTTTCAGGGAGATCCCAGGAGA